TAGTTGTATGTATTAAGACTTTTAAAAGTATTATTGTAAATAAGAAATAAAGATAGCGTTTCCCTTGTGGTGCAGATAGCGGGACAAGGGTGACTCTGATCCCCAATTGGGGAAATGATGACTATCCAATGAAAAAAAAAAAATGACTATTTAATTGTAAAAAAAAATTTAGCATTATTTTGCTATTGCAACGAATATTCATATTTTGTTTGAATATATTGTATTCTATTCAAGTATATGTCAGTTTATGGTCAAATAATTTAATTTAAAATTTAATTTTTGGAATTTTTTGAAAGCTATTTATAAATTAAAAATATATACAGTATACTGTACACATCTATTACTTATCATAAAATGAGCATTACATTGATAACATTTATTGATAATACTATTGAATTTCATCTTAATTTTATAACCAATCATGCTTTAAAAAATAATTATAAATTTGTTATATTATTATATTCTTTATATTTTTTTTTTTTTGATGTTATTGTATCACTTTTCGAAGTGCCTATATACGTAATTGGATTAGTTTAACACCTATTTAATTAATTTCAATCACGACAGCGAATGATATGGATGATTGTTTCTTTTAAACTATTTGATGAAAACGTTACATAAAATTTGGGTTGCGTAATCATCCGAAATTACTATTATATTTTTGACTTAAAATCACTGAATTTATGCAATTTTAGTTTAATTAATGTCGTATAAAACTGGCTGCTACAAGTTTGCTTAAAACATGCGACTCAAACCCCAAAATGGCGGGGAAGTTAGAGGTTTACGTTACCTTAAAAGATCGCCAGAAATCGTGGCAAGAAATAGCCAACCGTCTGAATTCTGATTTTATTTCTCATTTTATCATTAGAAGAGGTGTTTGTTCATAGATAAGTAAAAATAAAATAAATTCAAATGCATTAAAACCATTTTTTAAAACCTATCCTAGGTCATTTTTACATTTGAAATTTTTACCGTTACTTGTGCCGTCATGTTTAAAAATTTTATTCTTCAGGGATGAGGAGAAAGTTTATGAGTTTAAAGTCTAAATAATAAAGAATAATAGTAAATAGTGGCACATATAGTATACATTTTCGAAATTAATATATTTACTAATCATTTCGACCTTCTGTTAATCCAAAAACAATAAATCTTTAACAGATTCAAAATAAGCGAATTTGAATGAATATTTGAGCAACACCGGATTCAAATGCTTAGTTTATAGTATAAACTATTAATAGTGTATATAAAATCGCATTACATAATTAATATTAATGATTAAAATTACCTGTGCCATTCTATAATCCTAATCCTCTTGAACGAAAACGAAGACTATCGGAAATATTTAGCCAATAGGAGAATTAAAATCGGATTACGTTGCCAGTAAACATGTATCAAAATTTGATGCTTTTTAAAAAAAATTATTTAAATTTTAAGTAAATTTTTTCTTTATTATTACTGAATTCTATATTACTTTTAATTATAATTTACGATTATTTAAAAATGTTAATAATTTATTTAATGACGGCAAGATGTCTACGCCAGCCTGGCGTAGCGAGGGGAGAGCCTGGGTGGGCACGGCCCTCCCCAGTGAACCTGGTGTCCCCCTCAGAAAATCACAGCCGAAAAAGTGTTAAGCCGATTTGGAAACAACAAAAAACTTAAAGCTAAAAATTTTGAATACTAATTTTAAAAAAAGGTCCACTGTGCCCAATGTTATGAATAATTTGAAATAATTCAATTTTGTGTTAAGTTGGCCTCTACTAGGCCCCCCACAACAAAACTCTGGCTACGCCCATGACGCCAAGCATGTCAAACATGCGGTTCACCAATACATAGATTGCAGCCCGTCGAGACTTTTTAAAAATTTTTAAATATCCCCTTGATGATTTGAACACCCTGACGTTCATCATAACCAATGGCTGGGTATCTTTTCATTGTAAATTTGCTTTCGGACTTATGATAGGCATATGCCAAGCCCGCGAAGGTAGTTAGGTCAATTTAATGACTTTCCAATGACTGCATCATATATAATTTTACTATTTACGCCTGTAATATTAAGTGCAACTGCGCATAACTTATCCCGAGATAACTCTGGAATAGACCTTAAGGACCCTCAGAAAGGGCCTTGACTTTTCCAAAAATTGTATGGACATGTCAGCATAAATACATCGTTATCTATGATCTCTGCAAATTTCCTGAATTATTTTGGCTGCGAAAATATTTTATGACGATTTTTTAATTACATAATTTATTGCGCTATTATTTTTTCATGGGAGTTTTTTTTTATCAAATTAATTAAATCGTTCTAAACTTCTATTTGAAAGATTTGATTTCTGTAAATTTTTTTAATAGTGGATCCCTTAAAATAAAAAAGCTTTTACAGTGGTACCTCAGGTTAGGAACGCCCCAGCATACAAAATTTTCAGGATATGACATGAAATTCGAACATATTTACCCCTTGGTGTGGGTTCCTGTCCGTGGTGAGGGGACCTCCCAGAGATGGTTTAGTAAGTCTTCTTTACCATCCCTGGGACCTGAACGCCCACCCACGAGTTTGCCGTGCGTGGTGTCCCATATGCCGGAAAGGGGGATTTTGGTAGTTGAGGGGCAACATAACGTCCCCAATACACTGCTTTGGCCTCTGCTTTGGATAAACGGGAGGCTCAAATCAGGCTCCGTTTGAGTCAATCGGCTGGTTGTTGAGTCATTCTTGACCTCGGCTTGGAGTCAACCGATCGATGCAGACCGGGCGGACACGTCAGACAAGATGTGCTCTTCAAGATTAAAAAAATTCAAAAAGTTCTTGTGCACCAACAACAAAAACAAACGAAAAAATCTTCACTAATCCAGCGTACTTAGTAGTGCACGCAACCGGAGAAAAACCCTTGGCTAAAGCTTCACCTTTCTTGATTCAAAAATTGTTTGAATCGACCATTGGACAGTTGAAAAAAAATACAAAAATTAAGATCTGGAGATTTACTGGTGGAAACAGCTTCCCCACAACAATCGGCAAAACTTCTGGAAACAAAGACCCTAGGAGAAATGGAAGTCACTGTCACCCCACATGCGAGCCTAAACTTATCACGTGGGGTAATATCTGAAATTGATCTGATATCTGAAGATGAATCAGATATTCAGATTAGCCTTTCAGATCAAGGAGTCACTGCTGTCCGACGCATTTCCAATCGTCGAGATGGCAAGTTGATTCCCACCAAACATCTTATTTTGACATTTAATAAACCGACTTTGCCATCTGTTATTACAGCAGGTTATCTGCGCTTCCCAGTTCGCCCTTATGTTCCAAATCTGCTGCGTTGCTTTAAATGCCAGCGATTTGGACATTCACAAATATCGTGTCAAGGGAAAAGCATATGCGCACAGTGTGGAACTGAAGGTCACGACAGTACTGAGTGTATCACTACTCCATGCTGTGTGAATTGCAAAAATGCCCATCCCGCCTACTCTCAAAAATGTTTAGCATGGCAGAGAGAGAAAGAGATCCAGCGAGTAAAAGCCATTAACAACATACCATATCCGGAGGCTCGGCGCATGGTCACTCAAAGCACAGCAGTGAAACAGAAAACATTTGCTTCTGTGTTAAAATCCACAAAGACATGTGGGGTTCAAACCGATATCTCTGTCTCCCAAAGCGAATCTCTTACTCGCCATGCGAAATCTTAATACTTTCGTCTACGCAAACACCAGAAAAGGAGATCACAAAAGGAAAAAAATTTCTGCCTAAAACAGAGGTAATTACAAGAAATCTGGGTTCTAAAAAGGCTAGTAAGAACCCACTAAACAAACAGAGTGAAACAGCTCTCTCTAAATCTAAAAAATAGAGGCTCAGTCCATGAGTGAGTTCTCTGATATCTGATGAAGAGACTAATATGGAGGTGACCCAACCAACGTCTCCTCTAAAAGGAAAATCATCAGTTAAACTGAAGAGGGACATTTTTTCTAAGAATGCTGCCTCAAACACATAATGGATTATAAAATAATCCAATGGAACTGTCGTAGTTTCTGCAACAACTTTTCTGACATTAAACATTTGACATCATCTACCTCATCTCTCTGTGTGGCACTCCAGGAGACCCATCTGAAACCTGGAGAGGGAATTACTTTAAAAGGGTTTGGAATTTACCGCAAGGATGATGATAGCCACATCCATGCCAGTGGCGGTGTGGCTATTCTGGTTTCCAATCACATACCATCTTTGCCGGTACAAATAACAACAGACCTTCAAGCTGTGGCAGTCAGAATTTCTATTGGAGTAACTGTCACAGTTTGCTCTATATACTTGCCACCAGATGTCAGAGTCAACGAAGATGAACTGGATGCATTAGTTGAACAGCTGCCTACTCCATTTCTTTTACTTGGTGATTTTAATGGCCACAATCCAATGTGGGGCAGTCCTGACATCAACCACTGAGGCAGAGCCATTGAAAGATTCATAGGCAATCACCAACTACATTTATTTAATACTGGAGAAGTGACATACTTCCATGCCCCAACAAGAACATTCACTGCCATTGATCTATCTTTAGCAAGTCCAAACCTGTTTTCAGGATTTTCATAAGAGATAGGATCTAATCCACTCTCTAGTGACCACTTCCCAATATTTCTAAAATACCGAGGCAGAGAAAGCTGTGAAACAGCCTGTCCCCCACGCTGGAAACTGGAAACGGCAGATTGGCCTGCATTCTCCTCTTTGGCTGACATCACTGAGGAAATGGTCAATACTGCTGATATCAATGACGCAGTTAAAGTTGTCACTTCTAGTATTATACAGGCAGCTGAAAAAACAATGGGGAAAACATCAACCAGATATCCAAAGCGTCCGAAATCATGGTGGGATCAGAATTGCGAAGCAGCACTTAAAGCACAAAAGAAAGCATGGGGGATTTTTAGAAGATACCCCACTGCTAGTAATTTCACTGCTTTTAAAAAAGCAAAGGCAAATGCCAGAAGAATAAGGAGGCAAAGCCAAAGGGATTCTTGGAGGAAGTATGTTTCTAGCATAACATCTTTCACTGGATTAAAAGCAGTCTGAAATAAAATCCATAAAGTCAATGGCAAATATGCTGCTCACTCTCTTTTCATGATAGAAAATAATGGCACAATAATCAGCGATATACAGGATATTGCTGATATGTTGGGTGAAATGTTGTCTTTTTTATCCAGCAATGTAATGTATAATAGCAATTTTCAAGCTTATAAAGCCCAAAGTGAAAAACAATATTTAAACTTCCACTCCTCATCTAATGAGGAGTATAATGTGCCATTCACCAGCACAGAACTACATACAGCGATTTCTCCCTTGGGGAATACTGCTGTAGGCCCGGATAAAATCTATTATAGCATGATTAAAAATCTGTCAAACAACTCCCTTTCTAATCTTCTGAATCTGTTTAACAGAATATGGACAGAACATACTTTTCCCGACTCTTGGAGGCTATCTATCATTATTCCCATTCCCAAGCCAGGTAAAGATCCCAAGAATTCCTCTAATTATAGACCAATCTCCCTGACGAGTTGTCTTTGTAAACTTTTCGAGAGAATGGTAAACAGATGTCTAATGTATCTCTTAGAGAAAAAGGAATACTTTTCACCACATCAGAGTGGTTTCCGTTGGAACAGAAGTACCACTGATAACCTGGTAAACCTTGAAACATCTATACGCGAAGCGTTTGTTCGACGACAGCATTTAGTTGTAAAGTACTATATTATTTTTCCGACTTTTCCAACGATTATCGACACTACTGCGTGCCTGAAATAGTAATTCCCTAACGGGTACTTTACGCGGATACGCGTTAGCGTGCCAGGCCTGGACTTTAACCGTGCACCGAATTAAATAATGACGAGGTTTGTCAATTAAAAAATAAAATAAAAAAAGTTTATTCAATTAAACTTCTAGTAATGAACTATATACAGTATTTAGTAAAAATCAAACAATAATTTATTCAATGAAATTCAACAAGAATGAACCCGACAAAACTCAAATCAATCTATTTCTAACTTAATTTTATTCCCTTTTGGAATTCGAGAAAAATTAAAGACTTAACATATAAACAATATTTCTTATAAATTAAAGATCCTAATCGTCACCTCAATATACTAGGAACCTATTTCCTCAAACTCTGAACACTCTATAATCGTCGATCCATAAATCGAATAACTTCAAAATTGCCTTGGAACTATTTGATCCTATCGGACACCTCTCTCGTTCACTGCTACTAAGCTCATTAAAGCTCGTTGCTATCAGGAATTCACCTCGTTTGTTTTCACTTGAGTTAGAGGCTTTATAGTGTGAGGTGACGTCACAATTCTGAATGAGATCACTCCCTCATTTACATACTTAACGCTAACAATAAACTTTTTTTTTCGTTTTTCTGGCAGCCTATTTTTAGACAATACTCTCTAACCTTTTACATTATTCTTTTTCATAATTTTCGGGACGTTTTTTTATTCTTTAAGGTTTAGTGAGGTCCTAATTCGTGCTTGTGGGGTCTCCCCCACTTTTCTCGGTGCGGACTTACTTTTTTCTGCTCGGGAAGCGCAAGTGTGCGCAAGTTTTTCTACGGCGCTTTTCTTTCATCGGTGAGTTGGTTTTTCTTCTATTTTTAAGTTACTAAGGTGAATGGTGAGGAAACTTTCGTCCTAATAATACATAAGCCCTAAACAAAAAATAGAATAATAAGCAAAATAAAAGTAAATAAAAATAACGTTCGGACTTGGTTCCTTACATAGTGTCTGTATTTTTTGATATAAAGAAAGCTTACGATCGATGCTGGAGATACGGGATACTTCGCGATTTGCATGAATTCGGATTACGAGGTAATATGCCGATTTTTATAAAAAACTTCCTACAGAATCGAAGATTTCAAGTTAGGATGGGCAACACACTATCTAGGCCTTTTATCCAAGAAGAAGGCGTACCTCGTTGTATTTTGAGTGTGACTCTGTTCCTAATCAAAATTAACAGCATAGCTAACTGTCTCCCTCTCAGTGTGAAACACTCTTTGTATGTGGATGATTTTCAGATCTGCCAGTCTAGTAACATGAGTTTCATTGAGAGACAACTGCAAACCTCCCTAAATCGCATAGACAATTGGTCAAATAAGAATGGTTTTAGTTTCAATGTAGAGAAGACCTCGTGCATTCACTTTTGTTGAAGGCGTGGTTTTTATCTGGATCCCGAAATTTATTTAAATGGGTTTAAAATACCAATTGTGAATGAGGCTAAATTTTTGGGCGTTTTGTTTGACCATAAATTGACATTTTCGCCACATTTGCGCAATTTGAAGAGTAGATGTTTAAAAGCGCTAAAACTTTTAAAAGTACTATGCTGCTCATCCTGGGGAGCAGACAAAGTTTCGATTCTCAGGATTTATAGGGACCTTGTTTGCTCCAAGCTGGATTACGGGTGCATTGTTTATGGCTCTGTGCGAGAATCTACTCTTCGGATGCTGGATCCCATCCATCATCAAGCTCTGCGTTTGTGCACTGGTGCCTTTCGCACCTTTCCTGTACAAAGTCTGTACGTGGATGCTTATTAGACTCCACTATCACTCAGGAGAGAACACTTGTCTCTCTTTTATTATATTAAGCAGAAATTCCAAACTAAACCTTCAGTTGTTTGTACCGTATCAGATACCCAACTGACAACATTATTTGTAGCTCGCCCAAGCAGTGTCCCTTCATACAACATAGGAATGGAGAATGTAAGCAGCACGATTGACCTGAAAATGGGCAATATTTCACAGCCCGAGGTTGATAGTATACCACCCTGGTCAACTCCTTCAATAAATATTGACTTTAGCTTAAAGCAGTTACCTAACGAATCCACTCCAGACTATATCTACATACAGCACTTTGCAGAGGTTCAACACGAAAACAAGAATTTAATTCCTATTTATACTGACGGTTCTAAATCGGATGATTATGTTGGCTCAGCCTTTGTTCGCCAGGATGAAATCGTGGCAGAACAAATTGAATCAAATCCTTCCATATTTACTGCAGAGCTGCAGGCTACTTATTTAGCCTTAAAGTATGTAATCAGAAAAGGTCATCGTCGCTGCGTGATTTACACTGACTCAGTTAGTGCACTTCAGGCTTTGATCTCATATGAACCTAGTTGTCACTCCATAGTGATTAAAATCCATAAACTTTTTTGCCATCTGTGTGCGAGTAATATTTTTGTAAAATTTTGTTGGGTCCCAGGCCATGTAGGTATTAGAGGAAATGAAGTAGCTGATGCAGCTGCAAAGTCAGCTAGTCCTTCACAGCATACAATGCATATTGAAGGAGGTGATTTGAAGTTAGTTGTTAAAAAACGACTAGTGGAGAGATGGCAAAATATGTGGAATGCACAAATCCACAATAAACTGCATGAGATCAAACCTACGATAGAAAATTGGAAACAGAAGAAATTCTATGACAGGAGATCTGAGGTTGTTTTTAGTCGTTTGAGGATTGGACATACTCGGTTGACTCATCAATACCTTTTGAAGGGTGAGGAGCAGCCAGTATGCCAGTATTGCAACTGTCCTCTTACTATAAAACACATACTGCTTGACTGCTCTGCCTTTAAGATCAGGCGTAGACAGCATTTTGGAAATGCAAGTTTCAAAGAGATTCTGGACCAGAGATCAAATTGTTATAATGTATTGGACTTTTTAAAAGTCATTAATTTGTACAAA